CTGTCACCAGCCCTGCTGTCTGCTGCCGGGTGTAATGGAGGGTGAGCGCTGGCCGTTAACCAGGCTGCAGGTCTGCACTGAGGTTGTGATCCTGCAACAAGATGGAAGATCACCTGGAGGTTTCACACTGCTGGGTAACGTGGCCTCATTTGCAGCATCAGCTCTCCCAGCCCCACGGGGACGTGGGAAGGATGGCCGCGGGAGGGATGTCTGTGGGGCACTCATGGCCCCAGCGGGGAGGAACAAGCACCCAGGGCGAGGGCGAGGTGCTGGAAAGAGGGATAGAGGGGGAGCGGTGCCAGAAGGGAGCCAAGGGGGGTTGTCAGGAGTGACCATGTGTCCCTTGGACCATCCCATCCGTGGAGCTGAGCGCCCCGAGCCCAGCTGGGGCGTGATGGGCTCCTGGGGCTGCATTCGCATGCGTTGGGCTCCTGCGTATTGTCAGTGACAGGCTCTAATCCCACATCATCCCTCGCTTCCCTGGCCCGTTGGGTGCTGATGCAGGATGCCGCTGGGCGAGGAGCAGTGGTGGAGCGGGGATCGCCCGGCACTTGCCGGGAGCCCAGCGTCGGCGCTCGGAGCCAGGGCATGGGCTGCAGCAGTGCTGCCCACCTGGGAGGCAGCAAGCGGCTGCTCGCACTGCGGGGTCAAGGATTACGGGGAATTAAGGCAGGTTTGATTAGATCAGGCTGGATTAGAGGGCAGGAAAGCCACCCCATGGTTCGGGGAGGCAGGTTCAGCCACATGCTGGGACTGTGTGTGCTTGGCACGGGGGCAGCACTGCGTGGGGCACGTCCTGGAGCAAACCCTCAGCCTTATCCTCCAAAAGGAGGTTTAACGTTCCAACCGAAGGGGAATTTGGGTTAAAGTCCTACACGTGCCTGTGCTCAGACAGAGCAGGCAGCAGGGTTGAGAGGCTGCCATTATCCTTGAGAATCTGGGCTTGGTCAGCAGCTGAAGGTGGTGCCGGGCTTGCTCAGCAAAGCAGGTCCTTCGGGGCTCGGTGGCACCCCGGGGTGCCCACCCCTCCACTGGGCTGTCTGGGAAAGGGTGTCCTCGGGGCCAAGTCGCTGGCTGCTGGCTGGCTTCCGCCAGCGAGGGAAGAGGCAGCTCCTCTCCCCAGGGTGCTGCTGAATCGCAGGGGATCTGCGGGACCAGCTGCTCCCTGCCTGCAGCTCCCACCCTGGCCCTGCACAGACAAATTTCTGAGGTCTTCCTCGTTTTGCATCTAACCTGCTGCCACCTCTTCCCTGTGTCCACATAAAGCCGCCCAGCATTGCTCGGGGATGGCACCATTTCCCACAGAGGGTGCCCGGTGCCCAGGAGCAGGGCAGCCCCCCATCCTTCCTCCTCCTCTCCCCGGAGCTGTTGCTAACCCCTCTCTCTGGCTGTCTCCCTCCAGGCGTGGCTGACAGAGATTCATGAATACGCGCAGCAGGATGTGGTCCTCATGTTACTGGGAAACAAGGTGAGCATGGCCCCACGGCTTCACCAGAGCCTCCTCTTCCTCCCCTGACAGTCCCACGATGAAGCTGCCCTGCAGCCACAGGCAGAGGAGCCTGGGAGGGCATAAGGGGACATGGGGGTTGCCTACTGCTAACCTTCCAAATCATCCCAAATTGCTCTTTGTCGTTACTGTTGGCAGGTGGATTCAGCCCAGGACAGAGTGGTGAAAAGGGAAGATGGAGAAAAATTAGCCAAGGTATGTGAGGTGTCCATCTGCTGCAGCGGAGTCGGTTGTTGCATGCTCTGACTGGGGATGTGTGCGTACAACAACTTGTAATCCGTGATGTACAGCAGTGAAAGGGTTAGCTGGAGACCAGCCTGACCAAAAACAGGTCTGGGAGCACTTTGCTTTTCTTCCCTTGTCTTGCTTTCCTCTTCCTTCTCATCTGTTCTTCTTCCTTTAAGCTTCCACTAACATTTTTCACTGCTTTGTCCTCAAAAATTGTTTCCAAAGTTGTGTAAGAAACGCCTGAGCTGTGAACCCTTGCTAAGCTTTTCCTGCCCACCACGACAGAGCTCCCCTCCCAGGGCACAGTTTCAGCTCCTGTGGCAGTCCCTGCTGCTGTTGGTCGGGGCTCGGCGCGAGCCGGGAGCCCCCGAGGAGACCCCGGGTGATGTTTCTGATGCCAGTGTGTCTTGTCTCACAGGAATACGGCGTGCCCTTCATGGAGACCAGCGCAAAAAGTGGCCTCAATGTTGAATTAGCGTTCACAGCCATTGCAAAGTAAGTGACTGGAGCGGTGGCTGTGTGGGCACCTCTCCCGCGGTGGGGACAGCAGTCTTTGAGATAAAGGCTGGCGCTGTCACCCACCTTTTCATTCCCTGGGCTCCCACCTTCAGCTCTTGAGCTGGCAAGTACTTGCCATCTCACATGAGATACGGAATGTCTCATCAGGGGGAACTTTAGCAAACTATCTAGACCAAGTCGAGTTCAACTGAGCTGGGCCAGGCAGCTCAGAAGCAGGCAGTGTAGGCAGAAAAGTAACGTGTTTTCCCCCTTTCCTGCAGGGAACTGAAGCACAGGTCCATGAAGCTGCCCAACGAGCCCAAATTCAAGCTCCACGACTACGTGAAGAAGGAAGTGAGAGGCTCAGGCTGCTGCAGGTCCTAATGCGCTCGGTGCATTTGTACAGAGACTCATGCCAAGTGTTTGTGCGCCACGCTCTCTCCTCGTGGACAGTGTGTGCATGTCTGTCTGTCGTGTCTGTATCTGCCTAAAAGGTGAGCTGAGACATGGGGAGTGGAAGCAGCAGCAGAAAAAGCTCTCTTGGGCGGGGCGAACGCTGGCCGTGCTGCAGCCACGTGCCAGCTGCGGCTCCCCAAGCCCCCATCACATCCATCCGCACTGCGAGCCCTCCGGCTTCTTTCGCTGGTCACTCCCGCCTGGCTCGCAGCCGCTCATGCCTGTACAGGTAGGAGGTGGGTGTTCAGGAAGGGACTGGGCTGGGCTGGGGTCTCGCTCCTTCCAGGGCTGGGGCAGTCAGTAGGCCCAGCTGCCTCTACCCATTCAGCAGCAGCCAGGAGCGTTATGAGGATTCTTTAATGTTAGTAGGAGTTATGGTGTGACTAAGGGGAACGAATGCCTTCTCCCCACCAAACATCTGGGTAGGAGAAA